CGCTGAGCTTTCTTGTAGGAGAAGGTGAACACACTATTTGACATTGTGACCAAGCAGCGGTTTAAAGGAGGCTGGTAATTGTAGATTGGACGCAGCAGGAAACTCACAGTTTCCAACAGGAAAGCAAGCCAGTAGAGCAAGGGCAGAGGAAGGCTCCAACTGGAATCAAGGCGGAGGCCCCAGTCCTTGCTCAGGGCATAATGTAAATCAACAAAGCTTTGGTGAGGGGTTTCATCTGAGATGTAGTAGAACTGACCTTGGATGTTTGGTGACTTCTTGGGGTCTCGCAGGCCCCTGGCTGCCAGAATGTGTGCCCAGGCTGCATTACTCACAAACACTGGGTTGACCACAGAGAATTTGGCAAAATTGTCAAGTATGCCATTATTCTTGAGTGCTCTATTCACTACATAAGAAACGTGTTGGCTCCCTTCTCCATAGATGAATGGGAGTCTTAAGGCACAAGTATGCAAAGTGCCACCATCTTTCAGGGTGCACCCATTGGCTGCCAGCACTGCCTTCTCAGCCATCTTTTTGCTATATGGGTACGGATGAGACCATCTGCTTTCATGATTGTCTTCTTCGCAGCCATTCTGGATGATCTCCTTGTAGGAGTTTGGTCCAGCCACAGACACTGTGCTGCTGTAGATGAAGACTGGGACACTGGCTTCCACACAAGCATCCAACAGGAGCTGAGTACCTGAGTATGGGAAGTTCACCATTACTGTTAGAAAAGACACTGAAGGGTCCACTGTGGAGTCAGATTCATCCCCACTTAATCCCCAATAGAAAGACTACTACAGATCTAAATACATTCTTACCTGATCTTGACTCAAATTGCCATTCTATAGCCACAAAATAACCCCCAAATTAAAAGAGGTGACATTTAGATTCTGAAAAGCAAGGACTTCTAGGTTTCTGAGTTTATAGAGCTATCTCTCTCTTTTCTCTGTCTCTCCCCATCACTCTATCACAGTCTTTCTATTTCTCTCTCTGTTTGAATATAATTATTTTTCTTCTCAGTGTTGGGATCACACCTAGGCTCTTCCACATGGTAGACAAGGACCCTCCCACTGAGCCACTGTCCCAGTAAGCTTTCTGTTGCTATGATAAACACCAGGACCAAAGGAATGTGGGGAGGGAACAGTTTCTATGGCTTCTATGTTCCCATGGCAGTGTGTCACTGAAGAAAATCACCCAGGAACAAAGGCAGAAACCATGGAGGAATGCTCTTTACTGCTTTGCTTCCTATGTGCTCAGCTTGTTTACCTATATAACTAAGAACCACCTGCCTAGGGGTGACACACCCCACAGTGAGCCAGGCCCTCCCATATCCATCACTGATCCAGAAAATAACCCACAGATATAACCCCTGGCCAATCTATTGTGAGCCATCTCTTAGTTGAGGTTCCCTCTTTTCAGGTGACTATTATGAATCAAGCTGACAAAAATAAAAACCAGCATTTTTGTTCTGTAAAGGACTTCCCAAGATTTTTATTTTGGTAATTTATTCCTTTATGTTTTCTAGAAACTGACATCAAGAAATTCACATTATTTTGAGGACTCTCCTCAGTGTTTGAGTCTTTGCCTTTTGTGTAGGTTTGATCCCTGAAACAACAACAACAACAACAACAAAAATCCAAAGAGGCTCCTTCACCAAATAAAAGCAAAGAGTTATTTTTTTATATTTATTTCATTTCATTAAAGGAGGGCTGTTTTTTTATCCAAAAATTCAAAATACCATATTCTCAGAAGTAGATCAGAATTACAGCATGCCTATTCAGATATACTATAGAAGCATTATGTATTTTTATTTTATTTTATTTTATCTTATTTTCAGGATGGAGTCTTATTCCTATGTATTCCAGACTGGGCTCTAAGGTATAATCTTCCTGACTCAGCCTACTGAATGCTAGGATTACACATGGGCACCACTCCATCTGGGCATGTAGTGTACACTCATAATTAGACATTAAAGGCTGGTATTTTATCTCATTTAGTTAAGACTAATACAGAACTGAGAATCTGAGTATGTAAAGCACCATTGTGCAGATCAGGATATGAGGAAAGTAGCTAAGTAGAACTAATAGGTCAGTAATGGCCATCCCCAAATCATTAGTTGATTTGGAAAAGGAGCCCAAGTAGCTAAATTTGGAGGTCACATGGAGGATACATGCCAGACAGGACCTTGGAAAACAGTGGTACTAAGAAGACTGACTTTTAGTGGTGGTTCTGAGTGATGATGTTATATGGTAATGTCCTTTATTAAAGTATATTGCAAAGCTCCTTTCTGAGGCACTAACCATTTAGGGATGGGAATCTGAAGAAGAAACTCTGTGCCTGGCTAGAACCAGTCTTCAAGAGTAGACTAACACTAATCTGAAGAGATGACCTTGTAGAAATTTTAAAACTTTTGCTCTTAAGAAAACAAGTGCTGGATCATTTTCCTGGCAGACCCATGTGGAGAGGCTTTGATGGCTCTCTACTGAGGAAAGGTCAGGGTGTGGTCCAGAGAGGCAGTGTGTGGGAGCCCAGCTGGAAGAAGGGCTCTCACATTTCACCAGAGGGTACTCTTGAGGAGAGAGTGGGATGGAAACAGATAGAAACACAGGATAGCCTTGGGTGGGCCTGGATCATTATCCACTGGCCCCTTCTGTCTCTTCTAAGGGGCTATTTATAGGAGTACCAAGGAGTGGAGCAAAAGACCTCCTCCTAGCTCAGCCAAGTACAGACCCTTTCCAATCACCTGGTCACCACACAACAAGGGGTCAAGCAATCCTCTAATGCAGCTCTGCTGGGTAGAGCAAGCTCAGATCTCACTAGGAAACCTTGATGAGCTTCCACAACTCCCCCTTCTTGATATAATAATGGGCCTCCCAAGTCCCTCAGACAGAAAGTGCCTGTCTTGGGTCATTCTTGATTAATTTTACATTCACACTGAGGAAGCTATCAAGAAGAAAGTGGCCCATCTTTGGCTACCAGCCCTGGCAGGAGGGGGTACAGAGCCTAACTTAACTCTGGCCCAGGTCCCTACTAAGACCTTGCAAACATCCACAGAGATCTCCATAGCTGCCACACCTCCCAGTAAAGGAGTAGAGGAGAATAAAAATGGGATATCCCTTTTGGAATAGGTCTAAGGTGATTACAGCAGTCTTAGCTGCACCAAGCCCCTTTTCTAAATCAATAGTCTTTCCTAACAGATGTTCAATAAAATTTTCAAGAGACTATTTTGATTCCCACAAAAAAAACAGTCATTTTAAAACACTTTAAAGTATCCACTCAAGTAAACAAAATCCATGCCAATTATAAAGACACTTACAAACTAACTCGATTATGGGAGGCCTACCCCTTTCTAAACAAAAACAGGAGGAGTGGAAACTTCTAGGAAGAAGACAGAAAAGCTCTTCTAACTATGATACCTTTGTGCTTAAGTTTCCCAGGGGCAGCTGAGACCATAAAGTTATATTTTGAGCTATCATTAAAAGTGTTCAAATATATCTGAAGGCAAAAGAGTAATAAAAACAATTCTAGTATGAGCATCACTGCATACTTTTTGCAAACTTACATTCAACATTTATACTTTTTACATTCAATATTGACACTTCCCATTCAATATTTACATTTTTACATGCTTAATTCGAAAGGAAACTCTATAGAACTATTTTACAAACTTATCTAGAAGAATCTCTTAACAGATCTCACTGGCATTCAAAATCAAACTCTATTAAAAATATATAGAAGAGATTTCTTAACAAAACTATTAACAAGACAGAAAGTATACAAATCATTTCTGAAGTTCAGAGTTAATAGTCAACTTTGGTATCATTCTGAAAGTTTTCCTGACAATTTGAAGTCAGAGCCTAATTCATCAGTGGCTAGAAACTTGACTGAGGGTTAAATTCCCTCTTCTTAATTTTTTAAAACCACCTTTTAAGATCATCATGAGTGTTTCAATGATGTCAATATTTCTCTCTTGCATTTCAAGCACAACACAAGATTTTTATTTTTTTTCATTTGCCCATAAGTTTTTTTTCTTTTTTCACACCCAAAGCAATTTCCCAGTATACAGATCTCTTTCCCTAGTTTTCTAAGGTTTTCAAAGTGACTTGTTGACCAACAGTATTAGCTTTTATTTGCCTCATTACAGGCAACTGTTCACCTATTTTTAATTCTTGAGAGGCAAGCTAACAAAGCTTGTGGAAAAAATAGCATTTTGAACTGGAAAAACACTGAAAAAACAGAGTTTGGGGGCAGGGCAGTACCAGTATCTCTTTTACAGACTTCATTTCCCAAACTGCCTTTCTCTATATTGTCACACTGTCACAAACCACTTTATGGACTACGTTTTCCAAGCTGCCTTTTTCTATCTCATTATGCTGCTTTGAATGAACTACATTTCCCATGCTGCCTTTCTGGTCCTCCACAGTCTGGTTTCCATTTACATTGTTTGTGTTCATACTGAAAGTCAAGATCAGGGGAACTTTTCAACACAGGAGGTTTCTGTTCTCCCTGAGCTGCTGGCATTGACAGGTGGACTTCCTTCACCTAACATTGTCCCCAGAGTGGTCCACACCTGTCCACATGTGCACGCTCAGACAGGCATTTTGGTAACACTTTAACCTCCCCACCATCTCATTTTACTGGGTCAGTGAAAAGGTAAAGAGAGTACTTGAACATAGAGCTTTCTTAGCAAGATTTTTCCCCCAATAGAGAAAGAAAAGAAAGAGCTTTTTCAGAGATATTCTTTTCACAGCCTTGGGTCCTGCACAGCCCCACTTTGGGGTTGGTAGTTAGTGGAGCAGGCCGCTCTCCCTGTTCTCACTGGCCTTGTTTGTATGGGCACATTTTGCCTTAGCTCTTCCCATGCTGCCTTTATAGCTGCTGAGAACTTAGGCCCTGCTTTTTTATGCCAGTGGCTTTTTCCCTGGGTCCCGCTCTGCCTTTGCTTGGGCTCCATCCTTCAGTGGGGAAGCTGACCCACTCGGATCTCTGTCTGCCCTCTCCCAAGAAGCTATTGCTAGGCTCTAGCCACAGGGGATTTTGGCGAGGGTCTAAAGTATCTGCTGTTTTTCTAATATTGGCTGGAAGAGGAGATAGGACTAGCAGAGAGGATTTGCCCTCTTCCAAGAGGTTTTTTGTTTTTTCTTGAGCAATTAGGTGATTTTCCCATACTGATAGATGTAATTTCTAGGTGATTTAATTTTTACAATTACAGAAAGAGAAAAAAAAAAATCTGAGAAGACCTGAAGAGCTTCCAGTTTTTCAGAGAGAGATTACTAAGTTTTTCCCAAGAAAGCTTTCAGTTTTTGAGGGAAAGATTACTAAATTTTCCCCAAGACTTCTGTCCCTAAACTTGGCTTCATGGTAAGGAAACTAATCCTCATGATATGATGTTATAATACAGTAACAATGTCAGTGGAATGAAGAGTTTTATTTCACCTGCATCTGTCTCAGGGAAAATTCTTTCCTCTGCCACTCAGGACTTAAATCTAAGCTGTTCACAGGCCAAATCTTCCATAGGAATCTTTCTTGTCCATTTTTCTCATCTTTGATAGATTTTTCTCTGATTTTCCCCCAGGAGTTTGCATTCATAGTCCCATAGTTGTAAAAATCAAGGAGACATTTCCTCTATTTTGTTGCTTCTCTTATCCTAAGTTTTTCTACACAATATTCCTACATTCTACCTTATATTTTTCCCTAATTTTTATAGATGGAAATTAAGAGAGAAAGAACAAGAAAGAAATATGGATAAAGAAAAATATACACTGCAGCCTCACTCACTTTTAACTTTGGCATTAAGCTACCTAATTTTCACTCTCGAGAATAAAATACAGTCACCTTTATTTTTAATTCCTTATTAGGCATGCCCCTTTACACCCAAGACACCCCCTCTCTCCGGGAGGGCCTGGATCATTATCCACTGCCCCTTCCTGTCTCTTCTAAAGGGCTACATATAGGAATCCCAAAGGGTGGAACAAAAGACCTCCCCCTAGCTCAGCCAAGTGCAGACCTGTTTCAATCACCTGGTAACAATGCATGTGGTGAAACAATCCTCTAATGCAGACCTGCTGGGTGAAGCAAGCTCAGATCTCACTAGGAACACTTTGTGGACATTCACAGCAGTGGGTGGGTGGACATCAAACATTTGGAGATGGAGTCCACTCACTTTGATGGAGAAGCAGGAGAACTTTCTGGCTGTTGAAGTGTCTGGGTGTGGCTTTGTGTTTTCTCTCCTCTGACTACCTGTGGGGCCTCTGTTCCCTCCTCTCTCAGTCCAATCTCTTTTTCTAAACATCAAGGACAACCGCCCTGAGTTCTGCTAGCTGGGCTGGCAAGCAGAGGCATCTGACAGACCCAGAGCACAGCAGGTGTTCCATGGCCAGCACTTCCCTGTCCCATGTCCTCATTCCATGTCCCCAAATGGTCCTATCTGACCATTCTAATTTTCCCACTCTCTCCATATCCTCCTGAGACACTGTACCTTTCAGGTTGATATCCAGGACAGTCTGTCTGGGAATGGCACCCGAGACATCAAGGGAGGCAGCAGTGTGGATGACAACAGAGATGCCCTGGCAGGCTCTCCTCAGGCACTGGGCATCCAGAATGTCTCCCTTCAGCACTGTCACCTTGGCTTTTGTCTGCAGCTCTGAGGAACACAAAGCAGGTCATTGGGAAGCTTTCTGAACAGGTAGGAAGTTTCCAGACACAGTATCAGTGACCTAAGCCTCCAAGGGCAGTCAGAGTGAGGAGATTTTGGGGAGGAGGCCTTTCTACAGAAGAAACAATAAATAATCAACAGTCAGAATGTATCATTTGTAGGACAAGAGGAACCATCTGTGTCTATCCCTCCATTTGTAGAAAATGAATCTGAGCAGTGAAATTTGATTTATGCTTTGCACAAAAAACAGAGTTATGGGAATTCATATGGTGATTTAAAACAACCAGAGAGGTGGTGATAGTTAAATGTAAAAAGGGAGAACTAGGATTTAATTGATAGAGAATGGAGAATCACTTGAAGATTCAGACTGAAGGAGAAACAGAGACAGAGTCCTGTAACAGTGCTCTCAGGTTGCTAATGGACAGGCATGAAGACACAAGAGTAACCTGAGCAAGTAACAGGTTAATCAGATTGTGTCCTCCAGAGATCCAGTGAGGAGGACCCAGAAGAGGGAGACATGAAGATGGAAAATTCATCCCTGCCCCTGACAGGTCTTGATACTTTCTGAGTCTGGGCTGAGCACAAATGAAGAGTGAGCTCAATTACAAAGAGGAAACTGAAGCCCCAGTGAGAGAACTCTGAATGGGCTCCTATGATGGGTTTAGGTGCACATTTCTTATTGGATAGATACAATGTAAATGAAGCCACCTCCAAGGAACTGTATTACATCCAGGGGAAATGGATAGATAGCTTTAGGTTCAACTTACAGGATGATACTAAAATCACAATATCACCCAAATTAGTTCACAAAATTGATGGTGTGGCACATGCAGCCTGTATTTATACCCCACACTGGCTTGAGCTTCATAATTTACACATGACTTTCTCAGTTTGCCATCTCCTTTCCCAGCTATCTCATGAAATTACGATTCTAGTGTCCTTGATATAGGTTGGGGAAATTGCAGAAAGCTCTAGGACACACATCTTTCTAGTAAAGGCTCTATTGTCCCTCTGCCTCAATCTATTTATGCCCACTTCTCTATGCACTCTGTGACCAAGACTCATTTGAAATCAACTCTTTTGAGACATCATGTCAACTAAATTTGAAATGAATGCCAAAGAATAATTTGATAGAAGCAGAAGTAGAAATCCAGAGCTGGAGAAATCCTTCTCAGGACAGATTACAACCTCTCCTGAATGTGTCTACTGTAACCCTCTCTCCCCACTCAGGAAACTAGGAAGGCCTTGAAGTAGAGGGTGATGGGGGAAAGCCTTCTGGGAAGGAGGCAAGTGCCAGGATGTGAGTCTCTTCCTGTGTGATTTCTCCTCCACTCTTCTTAGCAGCTGACTTTAGACAGACAGGGTCAGAAGAGTTGCTGGGACAGGGCAGGAGAAGCCCAGATGCAGGACCAAGTAGACTCACACATCTGTTCTTTGGGGGGTCCTGAGATACCAGGAGGTGACATCTTGAGTGCTTTGTGGTAAAGCCACATCTCTCAGCTTGGCCAAGACACCATGGACTTGGCAATTGTTCTTCACTGCCACATCATAGAGCTGATGCTGTGGTGTGAGCTGCAGTAGGAGATCCAGAGAGAAGCCACCACACTCCAGCCTTTAAAAGGACAGAGGTCACCACCAGACCTCCTGGACCCCTACCCTACTTTGTCTTCTTTTAGCTGCAGGATCTATAGGCAGTCAGTAAACATTGTTGCACCCAAAGTCCAATGTCCCCAAAGACCATCAAGAGACCAATCTGAATAGAAAAGCAATAAGTCTTTTAAACTCACGAGTTCAAACCCAGATCCCTTTTACAACCATCACAGCAGTGGAGTGACAGTGACCTTAAGCAGTATCAGGATAGGATTTTTATAGTGGTTAGGGTGGGTGGTCTAGGGGAATTCCAACTCTGTAGAGTCACAAACTCAGGAGTGGTGCCTACTCCAGGTTGGAGATGCTTGGTTTGAACAGATTGGAGTGTTGCAGCTGCAAGGAAATTGCCATATTCTCTAGCAGTTTATGTCATGCACCTTTATCATTTGCAGACCCACTTTCTCTGACCATTAGACATTCCATTTCTTACCTGCAGGAAACTTGCTCCCTCTGACAGCTATGGTATATAATCTGTCATATCCTTTAGGTTATGGTAGGAAATGTCTGGAACTCGTTTTTTATGTGGCTTTTAATTGTCTTGGTCAAGGGACAGCACATCATCTGATGAGTTTCCCAGGGCCTGCAGCCCCCAGCCTAAACTTCTGGTGGGTTTCCCAGGCCTTGCTGGCCCCTGTCTGGCCCTTCTCTGAGATGGCTGCAACCCTGTCATCCTCCCAAACATCTGTGTTTTCTCCTTGTCTATAGAGTCAGAAGACAAGATTTCCTTTGTTTTGGGATCTCATGGGGGTGGAGAAACAAAGAGTTTCCACCATTAAGATGTCTCTGACCCATTAGAACACCAGAAGGAATCTCTCTTACTGAGAGGAGGGTGATTCAGTTGAGAAAAAATGCCTCCATTTGATGCCCTCCTGTAGGGCATTTTCATCATTAGTGATTCATGTGGAAGGGCACAGCCCATTGTGGGTGGTGCCATCCCTATGTTGTATAAGAAAGCAGGCTGAGCAAGCCATGAGAGCAAACCAGTGAACCCCACCCTGTCATGGCCTCTGCATCAGTTCCTGGGTCCAGGTTCCTGCCCTGTTTAAGTCCCTGTCCTGATTTCCTTTGGATGATGAAGAGTGATATGGAAGCATAAACCAAACAAATATTTTCCTCCCCAAGTTGTTTTTACTCATGGTGCATCTGCACATCAATAGTAATCACTACTAAGAATCTTTAGGTTATTTATTTCTTTGTTTGCTTGTTTGCAACAAGGTGTCTAGGTTATTTTTAAGGAAGTTAAAATAGTAAAAAAATGAGGCAGAAATTTAAGGTTTATGTATTTTAGCATTTTGTTGTATGTAACAAAGGGAAACAACTGAGTATGGAAGGGGAGTGTGACATGTTTTATAAGGGTTTATGAGGATATATATAAAATAGGAAAATGTGTCCAAAGAAGGCAGAGGTAGATTTTTTGGATTTTTGATTTTCTTTTTTCTTTCTTTCTTTTCTTTTTTTTTTTTTTGGTTTGTTTGTTTCTCCAAATACAATGATGGTCCCAAATTACAAAAGGGAGATAAAACCCAGAATGAAGGAAACAGTTGGACTAGTAGTGAATGGAAGTAGAAATCTGCAAAAGGATTTCAGAAAGGCACAGGACTTCTTGTAGGAGGCACAGAGGTCCTCATGCCCACAGATAAGCACTAGGGGAACCTGGAATGTTAGTACACATAGTTGTTCCTTCAAGGGAAGGAATGCATAACCAGTTGTCTGTCCAGAAAGCTGGGAGCAGATGTTCTTTCTAGTCTAGTCAACTTTGCATAGTCTGTGTGTTTGAAAATCAAACTCAGTCCTACCCAGATCCATATCATAGGTTGATTTTCCCAATCTATAGAACCCATATTTATGGAAGGCATCCCATGTATTTTATCAAAGAGATTCCATGTGATCATGTCTGATACTTATTTAGCTTATTTTGTTCCTTAAGGTTTATGTATGTATGCTTTATTGTGCACATGTGGTTGAGTGTCACCAGGAAAATATTTGCAAAATTGTACTGTGCTTAAATGCACAAAAGTTAAACCATTCAGTGTCAGACTCCAGAAACTGAAACCAACACAAGCTCTTTAGAGGTATTGAACTGCCTTCTTGCCTCCCAGGGACTGTTACCTATTAGCATTGGTGCTCAAAGAGACCCCTGAAACTTCTGGGACAGATGCACATGAGATCAAATAGACAATGAACAGATATCAAGGAATATTAGCACCTGAATCATCTTTCATTCTCCATGTTCACATTGGGGAGTTTTCCCTATAAACAAAAAGCATAGGGTTCAGTAATCAACAAAGGGAAGAGCAAAACCAACAGGGGGTTCTTGCATCTGATCTTAATAGAGAACTGTGGCCCATCCCACACCTTTTTGGTGTAGGTTGGCCATCTATATTCTGACATATCCTGGGTCCATAATTGTTTTGGCAAATTTTTTTGTGTTGTTTTGTAATTTTTACCAAATACTTTAGCATTTTATATAATTTACAAATTAAAATGTAATGTCTTTGATTTACTACTGACTTTGAGATTTCAGGAGGTCCTGAAATTCCAAGGGACCTATATGTTAGACCTATATTTTCAAATATGCATTTATATATGTCCCAAGGTATTATAAGATCTCCAAAATTCTGACATTTTTGAATGTATGTTTTGTTATCAGTATCCTTATAATATAACATTACTACATGCTTAAAACATAAACATATTAGTTCTTTTCTAATTCCTTTAGGGGAAAAATGGAATTGTAATAATAATGTTGTTCTGCCTCAAAACTTTTAAAGTTTAAAGCTTAAAATAAAATTTGTTTGGTTCTTATTAGGTTTCTCTCTCTCTCTCTCTCTCTCTCTCTCTCTCTCTCTCTCTCTCTCTCT